GGAAAGCAGTATGGAGGTTCCTCAAAAGACTCCACATAGAGCTCCCCTATGACCCAGCAATCCCACTTTTGGGCATTTACCCAAATGATCACAAACAAGACCATACTAAAGCTACCAGCACAACTATGTTTATCACAGCATATTTCTCCATAGCTAAGATATGGAACCAACCCAGATGCCCCTCAGTAGATGAATGGATCAAGAAAATGTGGCACGCGTGCACACACACACACACACATACACACACACACACACACACACACACACACACACACACTGGAATGCTATGCCTCCATCAGGAAGAAGGACACTACCTCATTTGTTAGGAAGTGGAAAGACTTGGAAAAAAATTATGCTAAGTGAAGTAAGCCAGGCCCAAAGAAACATAGGTACCATAGGTTTCCCTTATTTGCAATAACTAGTATATGTCTAGGATAATCTTACCAGACAAGTAGAAAAGGTAAAAAACTATGCACATATGACCATATAAGATGGTGCTAAGTAAAATAAACCCCATGATAGAGACACTTATATCACTTTAATGCATTTATAATTACTATGTGATTTTTTTGTTTCTTTCGTATGTTCCTCCCCCACAGTATAACTCCTGTCTTCACTGTATTTGATGCTGGTGCCCTGCATCTTGTATATACATATTTCTAATTTAAGGAGGGGAAAGGAAATAATATAATGCTAAAACAAGGATACAGGTTGACCCATTGTATCAATGAGATGTACAAGACACTATGTTAAAAATGATCTTTACAACTTGGGGGGGGGAAGTGGGGAGGGAAGGGATGGCTGGGGAAAAACAAAAGAGGGGGTAACAATGCTCAAAGTATGCATTACCTTACTCATGTAACTGTAACCAGTATCTTTACAATAAAATTATAATAAAAACAAGAAAAATAAAAAATCAAATATTATGAAGATCTCTTCAGTGAATCAAATATTGTGAAGATCTCTTCTTTCTCATTTCTTCTTTCCTCCAGCTCCAAAAGACTTTGCAGCCCTGTTAGCAGTTCTTGATAGGGGATAGAGAGTCAGTGAAGACAGAAGCTCCCTTATATACAAGCGAGGGTAGAAGACCTAAGCTTTAGAAAAAATGTGGAGATTTGCTTGAAGTTGGTTACTTGAGATGGACATTGAAATAACTTGGTACCCTGGAACTATTAAAGGATGAAAAATAAGATTGTGAGAAACATTAAAGGAGTAAAAAACAAAAAGTCACATCATGAGAGTATGTTTCCTTTGCATTACCTGGTTTTTAAGTTGGGTATTTTCTAAACACTTACTTAGTGTTTGTATTATAGTCTTCATTAGTTACAGGTTTTTTTTGTCTTTATTCTCTTCTCCTTTTTATTTACTTATTTATTTATTTGGTGCCAATCCTAGGGCTTGAATTTAGGGTCTGGGTACTGTCGCAGCTGTTTTACTCAATGCTAGTGCTCTACCACTTGAACTACAGCTCCATTCTAGCTTTTTGGTGGTTAGAGTTAAGATTTCAATGGACTTTTCCTGCCCCGGCTGGCTTCAAACCTTGATTCTCGTATCCCAGCCTCCTGAGTAGTTAGCTGTACTTCAGATGTGTGTCACCAGCACGCAGTTATTTTTGCCCTTTCCTAATTAGATGTTATAGTGTGAGTGGTTTTGTTGCTTATCTGTGTGTATGACTGGATATTTTATCATGGACATCAGTGTTTTCATGAGACCATATTACTTCAAACAAACAGGGAACCAAAGAAATAACCTAATCCCAGCATTAACTTTCTATTCAGTTCCTATACAAATGAGATGTGATCTAGAAACTAAACTGATTTTTACATCTAAATGCTAAGCTGCAGATTCTGCTGCTACACACAGCTATGTTATGCAGAGTAGTTCTTCACACTCCTCAAACTTTTTTCTCATTAAGTAGCAGAGGCTCTTGTTAAATCACTTTTTCTTTTACTCCATTAAGTGTTCAAAATTATCTCAAATAGTCTCCCTGAAAATCACTGAAGAGAAATATATTTATACTTGGAATTGAGGTGAAGTCCTCAATAATTGAAACCATTTTTAACTAGTACCCTAGAAAGGGCTTTAATATTAACAATTTCAATATTTTGTCAGAACAGAAAACATTCAAGAGCTATGTTAGAAATGGTTGAAGCTGGGGCTGGGAAGGTGGCTCAGTGGTAGAGCGCTTGCCTTGCATGCTCGAGGCCCTGAGTTCGATTTCTCAGCATCACATAAGCAAAAAGAAAAAAGCCGGAAGTGGCGCTGTGGCTCAAGTGGTAGAGTGCTAGCCTTGAACTGAAATGCTGAGGGACAGTGCCCAGGCCCAGAGTTCAGGCCCCACGACCGGACCCAAAAAAAGAAAAAAGAAAAATAAAAGAAATGGTTGAAGCTTTGTATTTAGGCTGCAATCCTGCATAGTACTATCTGAGCTCTTCCATCACCTAAATAAGTAGGGAATCACCCCCAAATATTAGCATGAAATGTATTTCTGACTATGTGTAAGTCCTCTTATTTTTCTGTCTTTTGATGTGTTGGTAAATTTCCTGGAATTGGAACCCTGTTACATATACTTAGCCTTCCTGCCTTGTTTACACCTTGCCCAATGGAGGTCCTCCCTGTTGATAAGAACAAAAATCTTGGCTGTGCTTGTCCATATACTGTGAAATTTCAGCATTTCTACCCACAATCATATTCCACCCTTAACAGGTTCCAGATTCTTCTCTAGCTTACTAACTCAGACTTTTATCATTCCCTTTAAAAAAAAACAAAACAAAACAAAACAAAAAAAACAAGAAAACCAAAGAATCTAGTGGATGGGGATTATAGCACTTGAATTGATTTGATGTTTGAATAGACCCTTCTGTTAATATCCTATTGAATTGTTTGAATCACTTTTTCATTCACTGTATACGTAGTCCCTGTGCTTTATACTAGCACTGTCTGTCTACTCAATCACTTTGTTCCCTAGAGAATTTTTAAATTTCTTTTATAGGACTCAAAGAATGCAAGACTTCTTTGTGAATATCCTTATGGAAAAAAAATAAAACCTCACCCCTTTCCTGCTGTAATTAGTTTATCTAGTGGAGGTACAAATAGGTTTCCTAAAGGGAATTGGTTTATTGCAAAGGCTGGATGATCAGAATCACTAAAGTAGGAAGTAACTAAACTAAAGCAGATCAAGACTTAAAGGTGACAGACACATGAAAAGGCTTAGCTATACCTGAAACATGATTCCAGACAACTCCACAGGGAAGCTGAAATTGTTTAATTAGACATTATTTAAGAAGACTCAGTCTTTCTGTTATGAAGAGACACCCTTGGGGCTATTGTATATACATTACAATGTGCCTACTGGTGAGAAAACTTTAGTTGTTTTATTCAATTTGCAGTGGTTTCTTACATTTCCTTCAAGATTAAGAGTAAACCATGACCAATTAGAAAAGTAACCCACCATGCCAATATTGGCTTTGCAGTTCAAATGTGAAAATTCCTAGTATTAGTAGAAAAATAAAATTACTACAGTCAGCCACAGAATGTTTGTATTCTGAAACCATATACCAAGATCTGCGCATTTCTAGTAATGTTAACATTGGTTGCTGACAACTTTGACCTTCATACCAAAAACTTTACAAGATAGACTTTTGAGTAAATAGCAACTGTGTTTGCACTGGTCTGAGATTTTCTGTGTAGCATTTAGATTTTCTTACCCAAAACTAAGGTGGATATAGCTTAGTGCAAAGGTCAAATGTGTATGACATCCCTACAGAGGTAGTTTTACAGAAGGTAATATTTGAGGGACCTCATCCAAAAATTTTATACAACATCCATAATTGAATTTGTGAAACTCAAGTATCATATGTAGGGGAACAAATGACAAAATATTCCAGAAAGTAGGTCCTGAATATCTTGACACTATATTAGAGTCACCAGAATACCCTGAAATATGGGGGGAAAATTTCCTTGACAACAATGCTGATATCACCACCATCTCAGCCTTCTGTCACCATACTGTAAACCTACTGCCAAGATTGACTTTACATGACAACGGATTCCCCAGGAAAATGGCATAGAGAGATAACATATTTTAGGCAGGAAAAAGATTCTAAACTCTTACTAGTGGCAAAGGAAATGACTGGCAATAAATCCCTGGAAATGAACCAACGTGAAACTCAGAAGCCTTGGGTTATTTAATAGGCCCTTACCATTGACTGTAGATTCTAGAAGAAATTGAAAGTCCAAAAATGAATCCTCTGTCAAATAATTTTCTTTCTTTTCTTCTTTCTTTTTATTTTTTTGTTGGTCATGGGGCTTGAACTCTGAGCTCAGGTGCTGTCTCTCAGCTCTTTAGCTCAAGGTGAGCACTCTACCACTTGAGCCACAGCAGCACTTCCACTTTTCTGGTGGTTTATTGGAGATAAGAGTCTCACAGATTTTTCCTGACTGGGCTGGCTTTGAACTGTGATCCTCTTGAGTAGCTAGGATTACAGGCGTGAGCCACTGGCATCCGACCAAATAATTTTCTTTTACAAATTGATTTTGTCTGTATTCCTAGACTTTTAAGTTCATTTGATACTTCATTGGAAGGTCAGTTTTCACCCTTATTTGTTGGAGATGCTAAAAATTTGCAGGCACTTAATAGAAATAAAGTTAGGGTTAGAAATTTCTGTGCATGTCTAATTTCCACATCATAAATGCTACTATGTTTTTACTTTTGTAATGGTTACATTTTATCTAGAGAAAGATGACAATCTAAAATTGCAGCTTGGGATAAGAGTGACAAATTAGCTTGATATATAGTGCTATGAAATTATATACACAGACATATACATGCATCTATGCATACATGTGTATTATGTATATACCTATATGCATATGTTGTGTACATTATACATGCATGTGTATGTATATATTTACACATAAGTATACATGTATATCTGTGTATGTGTGTTGCTTCCATTTTAATAAGCAAAAAAGAAATGATTGACTTCTTTTTCTTTCAGCTGTTTATCTCTGCAAGAGGACAATGCAAAACAAGGCAAGATTGGAACTAGCAGATTATGAAGCTGTAAGTACCAAGTCCTTTCCAGCAAAGAAAGGTACAGAAATAAAAAGAAATGGACAGAAGTGCAGCCTAAGTTCAATTCTAAGTACCCTGTTACTTTTCTATATTCCTGGATCTTCAGTGTGAGATTTCCATGTAGTACAGTGACCATATACCTCCTCATGGCTTCCATCCTGTCTTCATGAACATTGAAAGCAGTGAAGTTCTAAATAAGCCAGCTCAATGCACAAAGGGGAAGTGCGTTTTTATTCTTTAAAGTTGACTTCACTGTAAGAATTTCAGATAAACACTCTAGTGGTGATACCGGAACTGTGAGAATTAAAGCCCACTCACACTGGTAAAAGGGTGTTTTCAAAAACCTTCAGGTTGGTCATTGCCAGCAGATGACATTAATCTCACGAACTCTAATCTTCTTAAATGGTTGTTCCATTGTGATTTACTGGATTCAAAGCAGTGTGGGGAAGTGTGGACCAGGATGCCAAGGGTTTACATTGACTGTCATGACCAAAGTAAATAGAATGGATCAGTGGTTAGAATAGATTGTTTTCCTGTTGTAAAGCAGAGAGAGAAAAATCCAATGCATGAATGCTGAGTACTTTTCTTATTCAAGGTAATTTCATACACATACTGGATGTGTAATTGCATTCTCTAAAGTCAGTTATATTTGTTATTGCTTTTACATAGCTATTTCATTTTTTCTGTTTCAAGACTATTAACAAAGGAATACTAGCTGAATTCAAGGAGTGTGACTTCTTGAGAGCCAGATTTTTCTCAGTACTTTAGAAAATCTTGATGTCTTTGTCTCCCAAATGCAAATATAAGTAAGCTAAAAGGGAGTAGTGGAGATGAGCACCAGCATGTCCTTACCTGTGGGATGTTTTCCAGGAGAGCTTGGCCAGGCTGCAGAGAGCCTTTGCCCGGAAGTGGGAGTTCATTTTTATGCAAGCAGAAGCCCAAGCAAAGTGAGTCCTTGTGAGTCTTTTGGAAGATTTGTTCAAGTTATGGCCGTCTGTCCAGAAAGGCATTACACTTAACACTGCTTACTCTTCATTGTTACGATGTTGACAGAGTGGACAAGAAGAGGGACAAAATTGAAAGGAAGATCCTCGATAGCCAAGAGAGAGCATTCTGGGATGTACACAGACCTGTGGTGAGTATGCCATGTTCTCACAGACCTATGGCTTTGGCTTTGATAGGTGAGGGTGCCTTTGGAAAGACATGTTCCACAGGGTCTGGGTGAATTATGTCAGGAAAGATTGTCACTTTTAAGGAAGGAAGATGACCGGATTTTCATAGAACAATGTTCCATCTGAAATATTGTGCATTTTCCGTCATGCAATCCCTTCTCTACCTCAAGTGACATTTTAGGAACTCGAGGCTGCTATAAACACTTGAAGATGATGACAAGCAAAGTTTATGCTGTTGTTCACATTTTTGAGCTTTTTAGTGAAAGTAAGAGTCAAAATATTATTATTGCTTAACCAGATGCTGGTATAATTCTAGATGGCTGATGCTTAGAGGACTTTAATTTAAAGCCAGCCCAAGAAAAAAAAGTCCATGAAACTACATCCATATTAACTATCAAAAACAACAAAGAGCTGAAGATGTGATTCAAGTGGTAGAGAGTCATTCATGAGGAAGAAAGCCGAGTCAGGGAAGAGCCCGGGTTCAAGCCCTGGTACTGCGGGGGAGGGGGGGAGGGAAAATAACTTCCGTGGTTTATTTTTCCTTCTTAAAATCTATTAATGACCTGTTGTTGACTTTCACATACCAGTTTTATGTGATTTCAAATTCAAAAGAGTTCATGCTTCTAATGGTGTAAAATTGAACCTATTTTTAGCAATTGATATTTTGTTCCTGATAATGTCAAACTATATTTCTTGGTATAACTTCTAAGTATTAAAAATTAATACCAGAAAACTTTGTGGAGCTATTAAAATGTTGTTGAGTATGAGATAGCATGTCTAGCCAGGCATAATGGCTCATATCTGCAATCTCAGTGTTGGGAGGTGAAGAAAAGAGTATCAAGAGTTTGAGACTAGCCTAGGCTGTTTTAAGATATATATTTCAAAAAATATCTGTTCACTCTTTTTAAAAATAGGATGTATTTTCCTTTATGAATTTCTATAACTACAAACAGTGAATACCTTAAAATTTTTCTCTTAAGTATCTTTAGACCAAAGTAGAAAGACTCCATAGGTAGATTTATTTCAATTTCCCAAAGAAATGCCATTGTAAAGTTCTGTTTTGATTTTGCTCTTTTTTGAATTCTCAAGAAATTAGAGTTGTAACTTAACTGGCTTTTCTATTCAAAACGCAGTTTCATGCTGAAAAAAGAATTAGGAAATCACAGCATAGTTATTACAAAGCATTAAAACAGGAGTTTTGCTTGTTTGTTTTAAGCCACTTCTAGAAACCAGCCAAGACATTATGTCCTACTTATATTTTCTACTTATATGCTATTATGTTCTCTACTTTCTTTACTGTCTCTAGACATCTCTAGCCTTGTTTATCGTTTAATTTATATGACCTGGATCCTCTAAGTAATCCAGAACTGCCATCATCCACTTCCCCTGTGCCATGCATTTCTACTCCAGACTTACACATTCAAAACATATAAATCTATCCTAATGCCCTCTCATGCTCCATTGCCCTCTGTCAATTACCTGTTTCCTGACTTTGTGTGGCTTTCCTTGTTGTTGGCAGAACCTGCTCATAGTTGTCTTTCATTATTCAGTGAGTCAGGTATCATCCTCCAAGTGTCCCACCAGCAAGAACACATGAGTTTTTTCCAGCTCTTTACACGTCTCCAGGTGACTTCCAACCAGAAAGTCACCTGGAGAAGGATTTGGAAGCAGAAACTACCCTGACACCATTGGTTCCCCTGCTTTCCCAACTTGGAAATAGTTTATATCATCTTCAAACCTGACAGAAATATTTTCTTTTTTTTATTGTGATAATACTGTACAGAGGGGTTACAATTATATGAGCAAGATAATGAGTACATTTCTTATCAAGCATTGTAGTCTCCTCCTTTGTTTCCCCTTCCCATCCCTTCTCATCTTCCCCCTGCCCCCCAATCCTCCCTGCTCTCTGCCCCCCCACCAAAGTTGTAAAGTTCATTTTCGACATAACGACTTGTATATCTCATTGTTACAATGGGTCCACCTGTACCCCTATTTAAACGATTTGTTTTTCCCCTTCCCCTCCAAAAATTATATCAACATCAAATACAGTGAAAGCAGGGGTTATACTGTGGGGGAAGGACATACAAAGCAACAAAGAAATAAGCTTATAAATGTGTTAGAAACAATAGTATGAAAGAAAAAAAACATTTGAATACATATCTTAGGATTCATTTCCCTAACATCACCTTATCTGAACTTTTCTGCTTGACTCAGACATATACCAGATATTGCAAATAAGGGAAACCATGGGACCTATGTTTCTTTGGGCTTGGCTTACTTCACTTAATATAATTTTTTCCAAGTCTTTCCATTTCCT